TGGATACAGTCATGCAGGCATACAGGGACATACAGAACAAGGTATACAGAAATATACGGACACAGTCATATAGAGACATAAAGACACAGGTATACATACACAGTCATACTCCAACATATAGTCATACAGAGACATACAGACACAGGTATACAGAGCAGATCCAGAACCTAATCTTGGGAGGGGGACTGATAGTGAGTTGTAGTGGGTTGATAGGGGCTGTAATTAAGACGTTAGAGGTTGTAGTAGGGGAACAGGGGCTGAGAGTTAGGGGCTTAGGAAAAATGTAGTGGTTGATAGGGGCTGTAGTAGGGGTGTTAGGGCCCGAAGTAGGTTGATGGCTGCAAGTGGGGACAGGGGCTGTAGCGTGGGGGATATGGGCAGCGGGGCTGTAGCGGGGGGGGGGGGTAAGGACTGTAGTAAGGGAATAGGGGCTGTAGTGGATTTATAGGGTTTAACCCCTTAACGCCGTTACGATGTTCTATGCCGTCCCGCATTTAAAGGGCTTTAAAGCCGTTGTGGCGGCATAGAACGCCGTAACAGCTTAAGCCCCCAGGAGCCACCAACTACTCACCTCCACCGCGATCCTCTTCTGGAGGGCTGCCTGACAGCCCAGGCAGCCCTCCCCCGGCAAATCAGACCCCCAGGGGCCATGTGATCGCTCTCAAAGAGCGATCACATGGCCCCCTATAGCTGGCTGTGGATTTGCCAGCAGGGGGACTGTCTGAAATATCAGACAGTCACCCTGATGGTGGGCAGTAATAAAAAAAAATATTAAACATGTTTAAAATGAATTAAAAGTATTTTTATATATATATAATAGATGTATATCTATTATATATATATATTCATATTACATATATGTAACGTCATATGTAATGTATTTTAATATTAATATAAGTATATATTAGTATTAAAATACACTTAGAATGACGTTACATATATATATATATATATATATATATAATAGATATATACACATATATATAATAGATATATATATAGATATAGATATAGATATAGATAATAGATATATACACATATATATATATATATACACACACACACACACATACATACATACATACATATATATATATATATATATTTGTGTAAGGGGCAAAATAGCCGTATATGGAGTAAGGATCCAGCATAAGCTTAGGATAGTGTAAAGGGAGCAAGTCGGTTGTGGTGTGCCGATACCGACGATACGGTAGGCCTGTAAATAAAGAGGGCCCACCAAGGAGTAAGAAAGTAAAGTAAATGGAAAGAAAAGAGAAAGTGTTGAAATGAGGAGTGGGTGGGAGGGTCATTCTGATGCTGACCTCAAGCGATATGAGTCAGGTAAGGGGTGTCCCTTATATAGGGGAGTGAATTAATTTAAGCCCCTCCCACAAATACAGGCAAAACTGCCTTAATACATACGTATAATTACAATAATAAATAAATAAAATAATAAAATACATAAAATATTGAAACAAAATTTAATATAAATTATATATTCATATGTAATTTCATTCTAACTGTATTTTGCTATTAATATATATATATATATATTGGTAACAAAATACACTTAGAATGACATTCTATATATATCTATCTGTATAGAAAATACAAATAACCGCAAATATATATATATAGATAAATACATATAATTACATAAAAGATTACATTAGTGTACACATAGAATTTAAATACCTATAAATGCATATATATTAAAATTCTACGTGTATATTTAAGTAATCTTTTAACGTAATTATGTGATTTGATTAATTAAAATTTGCTTGACAACACAGAGAGAAAGTGCAGAGAATTTAATTCACATGCACTATATTTGACCCTGTAACTCTCCAAGACACCATAAAACCTGTACATAGGGGGTACTGTTTTACTCGGAAGACTTTGCTGAACTCAAATATTAGTGTTTCAAAATGATAAATTGTATTACAACGATGATATTTTAAGTAAAAGTGACATTTTTGGCATTTTTTACAAACGAACAGCAATTTTATGGACTATATTATTGTTGTAATATGTTTTACTGTTTTAAAACACTAATATTTGTGTTTAGTGAAGTCTCCTGAGAATAACAGTACCCCCCATGTACAGGTTTTATGGTGTTTTGGAAAGTTATAGAGTCACATATAAGGCTTGCATTTAATTTTTTTGACATTTAAATTTGCTAGATTGGTTATGTTGCCTTTGAGAGCGTATGGTTGCCCAGGAATGAGAATTACCCCCATGATGGCATACCATTTGCAAAAGTAGACAACCCAAGTTATTGCAAGTGGGGTATGTCCAGTCTTTCTTAGTAGCCACTTAGTCACAAACACTGGCCAAATATTAGTTTTTTTGCTTTTTTCACACAAAAACAAATATGAACGCTAACTTTGGCCAGTGTTTGTGACTAAGTGGCTACTAAAAAAGACTAAACATACTCCACTTTCAATACCTTGGGTTGTCTACTTTTTCAAATGGTATGCCATTATGGGGGTAATTCTCATTCCTGGGCTACCACACCGTCTCAAAGGTAACATTACTAATCTGGCAAATTTCAATTTGAAAATGGAACGTTCTATATTTGACCCTGTAACTTTCCAAAACACCATAAAACCTGTTAATGGGGGATACTGTTGTACTCGTGAGACATCACTGATTACAAATATGTGCATTTTTATGCAGTAAAATCTAACAGTATTATGACATTAACAGCTAAAATGTCAGACGGAAATACAAATTTTTAAAAAAAATCTTATTTTCTCACTTTTTAAAAATTTTATTCATAATAAATTATGTTCCATATATGAATAGTTAATGATAAATTAAAGCCCTGTTTCTCCTGAAAAAAATTATATATAATAAGTGTGGGTGCATATAATATGAAAGAGGTGAATTACGGTTGGACAGACATATAGCGCAAATTCCAGTTTTTGTTTACGTTTTGTTTTGATCAGAACTATACACCAAAACCACTTATTAAGTTAAAAATGTTTTGATGCTTAGAGTGTCGTTTAACAGGCAACCGCTAGAATAACATGCTCCATTGTTGGTAATCTATTCCATTAGTAACAAACTAAATGAACACCGATTGTTAAATAGTGTAAAAGAAACTGGAAAAAAGTACAGCCTCTTAAAACACCTGCTTAATGCATGGGAAGGGGACATACATCTTCAATCCCAAATGATCTGGTGGTGGAACCTGTGATCTGCACCTACTGTGGATACAGGCCACTTCAGGTGCTAACTCTATCCCAGCGCTTTTACAATATATGTGAGTTTTGTCATGGTAACCCACAGCAACACTACGCATCATTGGGAAGCATTGAATTCAGATGGATAGTTGTCTGTAGTGTCTGTACCCACAGGATGTGCAGAGCAAATGTGCTCTACATGCCTGGACACCTTGGGCTGGTTGTAGAGATCCTCTGATCTCTCCATCTAGCCCCTTTAGGTAAGCAGCTTTGTGTAGGCACCCCTCGTGCCATGCATGGCATGAATTCCACAGGTAGCCTACCCAAGTTCTATTAGATGTATTTCCAAATTTTTCTCTCTTTTTATATAAATATTAATTATATGGAGACATCTTCTGGGTCATTTAACCAAGCCTGCAGTGTCATCCAAGATAATTATTGATTCAAAATAAGGATGATACTATATTTTGAAAGGTTGGGACACTGTCACGCACGTTTTAAAGCTTAGGAATTGCTTCAATTATATGAGATAAATACAAAGATATTTCTAATCAGCTTCTCACAAGACCTCATCCAAATTCCTTGTCTATTTTTTTTTCATGTATAGTAATTGGATTCATTCTAGAAAAGTGGACTATTTAGAAGGGGTTCATTAGCCGAAATGCCATTTCTCATACACAAAAAAATAAAAAGCTTAACAAACTCAAATAAACAAACAAACCAACATATCTTACTGATTATCATCCAATTTATTACTATATTTTAAGATTCCATAGCAACTTAAAATATTCAGCAATTAGTATTCTGAAAGAGATGAGCAATATAATAACAAACTACGATTTCTATCCATCTCAAAGGAACACAAGGGCTCTGTTCTAGAACCTTACCCGAGGAAATCTCTTTAGTCTCGTCTGTCAGTTAACCATTTAATTTCTGGGTGCCAGTTTATGGAGAGAGCTAGTGAACGAGTGAATGAAGAGATAGAACGTGTATTTGATATGTAAGCTATACATAGTCAAGAAGTGCAAAATAAACTGAACAGAAAATAAAATAATTTGGGCTACAATTGTTAACATCAACAGCGTACTTGTATTTTAGAGATTAGTAAAGTTTCTCACTCTTGGAAACAGTGACTACTGTCTGTTTATAACAGTATTAATGTGTTTGAAACAAATACTGTATTGGTCTTTTAATATCTAATTAG